GCTTATAATCCTAGACCATTCTCCCACTGGGTGGGGATGTGATGACAGAACTTGCTACCATACAGTAGGGATGCAATGACATAACTATTCACTATGTTCATTTACCTACCATAGACTCTGGTCAGTCAAAATGACTATTTTAAACTGTAGGCATTAATCTGCGATTCAGCCAACGATGCATGGAGAGAGAAATCTAGACTTTCTTCACATCACGACCCACGTGACTGAGGCAATGAGGGTGACGCCATCTTGCCTTATGCTCACTTCTGTCTCGGTGCATTTCAGTCGTCCAGATTTGTTCCTGTGCGGGTGGGGATGAGATGACAGAACTTTATTCCATAGGGTGGGGATGGGTGACAGAATATCTGCAACAGGGTGGAGATGGAATGACAGAACTTTCTCCCACAGGGTGGGGATGGGGTGACAGAACTTTCTCCCACAGGGTGGGGATGGGGTGACAGAAGATCTTTCACAGAGTTGGGATGAGATGACTTTCCCTTACGAGGTGGGGAAGGGATGACAGAACATCTCCCACAGGGTGAGGATTAAATGACAGAACATCTCCACGGGGTGAGGATGGAATGACAGAACATACAGTAGGGATGGAATGACAGAACTTAGTCCCATAGGGTAGGATGGGTGACAGAATATCTGCAACAGGGTGGGATCGGGATGACAGAATATATGTTACAGGTTGGGGATGGGGTGACAGAACATCTCCCACAGGGTGGGAATGGATAAGTGACTGACAGTCGCATCAAATTACTCATTATAGTGTACTTTACGTCTTAAACTCTTATCCTGGCTGTATAATTGACATATTTCACTGTTTGACTGTTGATCGTTAGTCGAGATTTCTTTGAAAACCTTGTTAGAAACAAGGGCAGAGAAGAAAAAAGTAAAAGTGAATAAAATCACTTTTATGTAACAGTGATATTAAACTTCCCTTTTTAATCTAAGCAGGCTTTCTGTATTTACCTATACATTTACACATACAACACACATAAAACAGATAGCTAGTTAGAACCTGGAATTTGAAAAGCCAAATCTCAGTAATTCTGCCAACAGTGCTTCACAAATGGCTTTAACTCTTATACACCATCAGTTCCCTCTTTTCATCACAAATTCAAAACTGGTCCTGCACTTTCCTTTAGAAGACTGGCACAAAAATAGTCAACCCAGAAAAAAAAAAATGTTTTGTTTGTAACAAGTGATGTTTTCACAGCAGGGAGTTATTCACGCTATTTATGTCAATATATTATTATCCCACTACTTATAGCATGTGTATTAGTTTACACTAATAAAATGATATTGATATTTTTTTTTTATGAATCACACCCATATTCATACTTCAATACAATTGTCATTTTTTATCATTCATTGATCTAGGTCGGTGAGTGTTTGTGTCTACAACTTAATAATTCTTCAACAGCTGTTTCATAGTATTTTTTACCACCGTAAAGTGTTTATAATGAGCACTGAATTTGATTTTTTTTAGTGTATGAAAATAATCAAATGACCTTATGAAAAATAGCCTCAGTAGTAGTACACATAATTTGTACATCTCTTTTCATCGCCTCGTCCTTTTCACCACCAGACTTTCTCGCCCGAATTTTTTGACACTTTTTCCTTATATTCTTTAATATTTCTGGAAATGAATTCCTAAGAGGAAATTTGAGTAATTTTTCAGTTTTTACTCAAAATATTTGGCTATTTTTGTTCTAATCTTCTGAAGAAAAATGCAGACTATGAACAGGACTATTTTGTAATTTTGTGATGAAAGAGGGAACTGTTAGTGAAAAGGTTCAGACAGTTTGAGCCAAATTAAATTTTTGTGCTATCTCCCATTGTATCATATGAGGTTATTACGAATATACCTCAAAGTATGCACGGAGAAAGTACAGCGACAGTATCGACCGACGCGCAGCGGAGATTGATGCGACAGCGTACTGTCTGAGTGCATACTTTGAGGTATCTTTGTTATAACCTTATTATTATACATCTTTTCCTTCCAAAGATACATTATAGGAATGCCGAAATCCAAAAAGTTTAGAACAGAATCAGCGAACTTCCTTGTATGGAGTCCGGTCAAACCCTGGTGGCAGCCATGTTTGTTTTTATTATTAGAGGAAGGTTACGCGCATAATCATTCCATATTTGGAATTCACATTTCCTAATATGGTAGTATGAAAATACCCCGTAAAATACCGCAAAATTACGGCTAGCTGTAACTTATGGCGTTACGGTGATAGATGTATAATAATGAAAAATATTACTGCATTAAATAAATTATACATATTTTTTTTGAAATATTAGGATTCATATTAATAATAATATACAACTTTTTTAATCACATTTCCCCAAGAAACATTTTGAGATACATGTATGAAAAAAAAATTCCCCATAGTTTTGACCATTTTCCATTACATCTTGTATCTTGAAAAATTGTTTGGTGACCCCATTTTTGTTTTATGATATATAAACTTCAATTTTCGCTTAAACTTAATTCATTTACAGTTTAATTTTCTCCATGATTTGATTTGAGGGATTTCCAGTATAAAAGTCACTATGAAAAGTCCCAATCAAATGTTTTAAAAATTTCACTTTCTTCTCTGACTCTGCAAATGCAAATGCCCTGGTCAGATTCATTCCAATCCATCTTAATTCCATTTTTGTGGGTATATTTTTGATATATAATTGCTCAAATCCAGGGAAAACACCAAATGCTCATGGGTAATATCAATTCCAATATCAATTCTGCTTCCGTCCACTATGCAAAGTATTGCTTATTGGAAAACATTAAAAGAATACATTTTATATGTTTAGAAATTTTAGCAATTTTGAAAATCTTTAGAATTTTTCATATTTTGCGAATAGATTGCAAAGTGATATGTGAGGAAAGTCCGAAAACGGGGACTATTAATTTGAGTTCGTTCCGTCCATCCATCCATCCGTACGTCCGGAGTTATATCTCGGACACCCATTGACAGATTTCATTCAAAGTTTACATGAATACAATACACAATGTCTGACATATGCGCGTCAAGTTACTTTATGATCGGAGAAAAATGGCCGACTGGCGGCCATTTTGGATATAAAATTTGCTATTCCTGATACATAAACGTTTCCGCAGCAGTTTCTCAGAGATGACTGGGCCGATTTGAATAAAAGTTGGTATGATGATCATACATACCCATGCCTACTTTCCCATGAATGCAATGAACATTTCTGTTTAAATTTTGTGCAAAGACATATACCAATTGATACATCAACATGAACATTATTTTTGTAATTTGATTCAATATGACTGCCCAATGTCCAATTCTCGTGTAAAAATACTAAATCATAATTTTTAACAAATCCATCTCCTATTAATGGTTTCAATCTAATCTCAATGACTTCATCAGCATCAAATTAATATGTCAGATCACAAAATTTTGAACAGGGACTTTGTCATTAACAATGACTTAATTGTTCTTTTCAGGTTTGTTCTGAAGCCCAAATGTTTATATATTATTATGTGTGTTTCGCATCTTTGAATTACAGCGATATTTGCATTTATTTCTGTTCATCTGAATGTCCTAAGTAGAGCCATTAATTAAAGATTTGTTTGATTGTATCCACGCAGAGTGGGATCTTTATTGCTAAATATCACTGTACATAGATATTACAATTACACACCCGTAAGGGGTTAGCATACGTTTAATGTGTTTTTTTTCAATATTTTTTTTTATTTTAAATTATTGATGGTTATGACAGTATCTGTGACTGTGCTTTTATTCTAAACAAAAACTCCATTTTAAAAGGCATATTTCGACGTTTTTTCTATTTCAAAATATTGCCACGTGTGATTGTTTATAAACACCACCAACACAAGCACAACACTCGCATGAAAGTAATCCTAATTGACACTTGATGAAAGATCCGATTTGCATATCAATACTACAAAATTTATGTAATTACGGTACTCATTTCGCCCAGCCTTCTGCTTTTACACCCACAGCTTATTGCTTGATTTCCGACTGTGCCGTCTTGTCCGACCGGAAACCGACAGCATTTTAATCGTTATTTTTTTTGCTAGCTCGCTCATTGAAAACATTGACTGCTCGCCAAAACACTGATCACACATGAGTAGTTGAAATGGTGGTTTTTCAAATCTAATAGTTGCATAACACTCAATCGTCAAAGCAACTTAACTGGGACTCTTGTTACGTGTTTTCGATGCTTGTTCTAAATGTAATATTTTAGTTTACCGTAATGAGACAGTTACGTGAAAAGGGCACAGGTAACTTTTTTCGACAGAACAGAGAAACGAGGAAAATGTTAATGATTAATTCCAAACAAAAATAATCAATCCTTGGTAGCAAATACAGTGACCCCTCGCTAAGTCGCACCTCGGTAAGACTCGTTTTCGGCTAAGTCCTGCCTCGGTAAGTCGCGTTTTCGGCTAAGTCTTGCCTCGGTAAGTCGCGTTTTCGGCTAAGTCTTGCCTCGGTAAGTCACGTTTTCGGCTAAGTCTTGCCTCCGTAAGTCGCGTTTTCGGCTAAGTCTCTGATAGTTTGATGGCTCCCAAAAATTCTATTGTGTTTTGATGGCAGATTTTGAGTACAAAGTCTAATGTTTCATTACATAGAGTATTTAACGTAACTGTTAAATAGACAACTTAACACCTACTGTCCATATATTACATGTATATTACATGTTATAAATCATTTTTAGAATTTCTTGATTTCATGATTAATGGCGTTTGTCAAAACAAAATATTATATGAAAGTCGCTGCGACTTTCAGGAGGAATTGCCACTGTTGCAAAATTATACGATTTTCATTTTATTTGCATAAAATGTTGTCTCTATCAAAATTAAATTTGTCTGAAGTAATTGGTAGATCGATGGTTCAGGACAATGCAATGGCACTTGAATTGTATTAATTAAAATAATTTTATAATGTATTTCTGAATAATTTCTATGGCTTGCCTTGCAGCTGAAAGGAAGACTTCTCTAGGAAAAGACTGGCATCAGTTTTGTCTTAAGTGTGAGAAATGTGGGAAAACTTTAACACCAGGAAGTCATTCAGAGGTAGGTGTAAGTTTTGACCTCAAAATGACCTCAAAAATTGTTCAAAAATGTCTTTACAATTGGTTCTTATTGCAGAAACATTAAATTTTATCTCAAAATTGTGCTCAGTGACATGGAAAAAACTGATGTTGTGTTAGGCCAGACTTTTTTTTATTCCATGTTTCATGAGTTTTTATAAGGCAAATTTCTTGTGGAGGGCAGAAAAAAAATAAAATTAATTATTTTTTTCCATTAGATTTGTATGATTCTCAAAAAATTGTAAATGAGATCATTGATCATAGAGAAGAAATGAAATAAAATTGTATTCCATGTATAACCTTGTTTCTCATCTGCGCAAGACTTTGATCATGATACTCCCACGAAAATGCAACTTGGGTTTATTATGCGGCGGGCGAAAGTTTTTTTTAGCAATTTTTTGCATTTACAAGTCGGTGGGCGCGAGAAATTACGCTGAAATAAAATTTTATTTTTATTTCATTTTCAGCTCCTGTTCATTCGGCGGGTTCGCGAAACAATGGATAATAAAAGTCTGGTCTTATGAGGGCTACACATGACTGTCATGAAAAATGTCATTTAGAATTCTGAATATTTTTTTTTTCTTAAATCAGAATAAACATGGCCAATTGGTGTAAAGATTTACATTGAAAATGAAAGGGGACTCATGTCATGACTTGTTTCTCTTTGATTTGATTTTCACTGAAAAAAATTGATGAAAAATAATATAAAGTAATAATAATGAAGTAAATTACACAAAGCTGAAATTCATGGATGACAGTTTGGGAGTCGACTGCTTTGATTGCATCATATTACCTGTATTTAATTTTAATTCTTGTTCTAAAGACGAGCACTGAATTCCAATAACATTGGTGTCTGAGTAATTAATGGTTTTGTCTGAACTTAAGTATCTATAATGCATATGCCACTTGGGTTTACATATTTACAACATTTTCATAATTATTGAAATAGATATGTGAATTTATAATGTGAATGCTTATTGGATTTCTTCATGAGTAGAAATTGCATTCCAAATAATTAAGGAATGTTGCCTACGTCAGCCTATTCTCTACAAATCATATTTCTTGTGGTTATTTTAGTCACAAGCAGCAAGTTATCCCAATAACCTACCAATATTTTTAAGCTAGTCTTAAGCTAAGAATTACTGTGAAATACTTTATTTTCGCTGGAATTAATTTTCGCTGAAAAGACTTTTTGGGCGTTTTGTATGGAATTTATTTTCACTGAATTTTGATTACTTTAATGTGAAATATACGAAAAAAGTATATTCGCTGGATTTTATTTTCACGGAATCATCCCTTCAGCAAAAATAGCGAAAATAAATTTCAGGCGAAAATAAAGTATTCTACAGTAGGTTGACATTAAATTTTGCGTTTAATCTGTCACAGAAATCATACATACTCAAATAAAAGATGCAGAGCAGCTTGGTCAAGTTCAAGTTTGAAGATTGAATTATCTGTTTTATTAGCTGTTTTGTCATACATGTACATGCGAAATAGCAAGTTAATCGCATAAAGCATTCGTGAGACACAAATGTCCGCAAATTGTTGCACAAAATCCAAGATGGTATAAACTAAACCATGTGCCTGTGATTTTTCTCATAATAAGCTTGAGCCATACATGCTACTTACAAAATATCAAGTTGATCAGTTAAACAAATAAATGCCTTGAATTGTGGCAGTTTTTGATGAAAAATCCAAGATGGCAGCCAAACCATGTGACTAATCATGGCAGTTTAGAAGCATGCCTATCCCAGTTGTCAGCTAGTGGTAAAAAGTGTATCATCCTCGGTGACGTCAACATTGACACGGCACATAATACCACACCTGTTTCTAACTATCTCACCCTACTCAATGCTTATAATTCCTCCCAGATAATCGACACTGCTACTCGCGTTTTTCAACAATCCAGCACAACAATAGACCATTTAGTAACAAATATCACTGATCACTTTATTGAAAGTGGCACGATCCTAACGGACATTAGTGATCATTATCCAATTTTTGGTATCCTTAAAATATTTTAAATATGTTTTCAGACAAAAAAACGATATTTACAAATACGACTTCCAAAACTTAAATTCAGAAGCCTTCGTTGCCGAT